TACAGTATGGGAATGAAGTTCTGACGTGTGCTACAGTATGGGAATGAAGTTCTGACACGTGCTACAGTATGGGAATGAAGTTCTGACACGTGCTACGATATGGGAATGAAGTTCTGACGCACGCTACAATATGGGAATGAAGTTCTGATGCGTGCTACAGTATGATGAAAGGTAAAAGCATATGCTAAGTGAAATAAGCCAGACACAAAAGGACAAGTATTGTTTGATTCCATTTACATGAAGTATCTAGAACAGGTAAATACATAGAGACTAAAGGTTATTAGTTGTTACCAAGGACTGGAGAGAGGGGAGAATGGGGAGTTATTGGTAAAGGGGTACTGAGTTTCAGTGTGGGGTGATGAAAAACTTCTGAGACTAGATGGTGGTGGGTGGTTGCACAATGTGGTGGATATAGTTAATGCCACTGTACTGTACACTTAAAAATAGTTAAAAATGGAAAATGCTTTGGTATATATATTTTACAATAAAAAATTAACACAGTAGAATTCTACAGGTTAACATTTGATTCTAAATATGCCTTTGTTTACAGAAACAAAAAGCCTTGTTTAATGTTACAAAAAATACTAATAAAGAATAGGTTACTCAATTATTCTTAGCAACATAGGAAATGTCATTTAGGAAGAAAAAGTAACTAGATGCTCATCTCATTTCTCAGTCACTAGTTGTTGAATGGTTAAGCATTCATTTAGCTGCTAACCAAGAAGTTTGGTGGTTAGAACCTACCAGCTGCTCCCTGAGAGAAAGAGGAGGCAATCTGCTTCCGTAAATATTTTTTACAGCCTTGGAAACCCTGTGGGGGAGTTCTACTGTCCTTTAGAGTTGCTTAAGTGGGAAATGACTCATTGGCAGTGGGTTTCGTTGGCTTTGAGTATGGATGAGTGATCTCCTTGCACTATCAAGGTGGTAGGGAGGCAGAGATGTTATGCCACAGTGAGAAGAACACCCCCCTCCCCCAAATACTCAAGACCACCTATAGGAAGAAAAACCTCATGTCTAAAACAACTTCAACAAATAACTGAACAAAACTACTCTCGTGATTAAAATTATCCATTCATGGTTCCCCATCACCCTTAAGCCTGATCCTTGTTTATATTTCTCACCTCATAGTTCACTATACGCACATATAGGTATCCTCAGGCTTACTATGAAATTCTCATAAAACACCACATTCATCATGACTCCATGTTTTTGCACATGTCCTCTCTTTGGGACTTCTTTGTGATCCTAATTTTGCTTTCTAATTTTATATCCATAGTATACATTGTTGTGTTTTTGTTGTTATGTGCCGTCGAGTCGGACCTGACTCATAGCTATCCCTCCTTGGGTTTCTGAGGAAGTATCACTAGGGAAGTAGATTGCCCCATCTTCCTTCCGAGGAGTGGCTAGTGGGTTTGAACCTCCAGCCTTCTGGTTAGCAGTCAAGTGCCTTAGGCATTACGCTACCAGGGCTCCTATAGTATACATATTAACAGATTATACTGAGGGTGAGTCCCTGGGTGATGCAAATGGTTTGCACTGATCACTAAAGGCTAGTGGTTCAAACCAGCCCAGTGGCACCACAGAAGAAAGGCCTGGCAATCTGGTTTGGTAAAGATTACAGCCAAGAAAACCCTATGGAGCAGTTCTACCCTGTTCCATGAGGTACATGAGGTCACCATGAATCAAAACTGACTTGACACAATGGGTACACACACGTATACACACACATTTAATTAGGGGTAAATGAGAAGCTAGGAGAATAAGAATGTAATTTTCCTATCTATTGGATTAATCAAGTGAATTAAGAGTGAAGAGATCATCATTAGGGAAATCTCTTGTTGTTGGTTGGCTGAAGGCTGGAAAAGTAGAGGATCACTTCTAATCTTGAAATCAAGTCTAGACATTAATTTTACCTTCTGTGAAACAGATGATTTAGGTCATTCTTATGGAAGAAGGTAATTCAGTACATTAAAATTGGTACAAAACAAGTTTAGTGATAATTACAATGAAAGATTTCATATATTTCAAACTGTCTAGGTAAGAAAAAAAATCACACTTTACCTCTTGAAATGATTCACAAGGACTCCAACAAGTTCTCCAATTCGACTCTCGTGGGTTGGCTGTTTGCTGAAAAGGCAGACGATGAGGTCTTTGTTGTCTTTCGTATGGAACACTACAAGTTGGTCCTTTCCATTGGAGACACTCAGACCAGTCAACTGCAAAGAGACAAATCACGGGAAGCTGTTAGGATGGCTCTCAAAAGAACGAATCTAAAAATACATTTTGTAATGGTTTTTCTCAGTAACCCTGAGAGCTTACATTATTATCAAGTTTCATGGAATGGGGGCTGGGATTTAGAGATGCGCTTCATAGAATTCAAGAATTCCCAGAAATGGTGTGTAAAATGGGTTTTATGTGTGGCGAGGCACTTTTCTGGGCATCAGGGCCATAGTTTACACATAACAACAACAAACTCATTGCTATCGAGTTGGTTCCCTCATTAGGTTTCTGAGGCTGTAAATCTTTACGGAAGTAGATTGCTCCATTTTCCTTCTGCAAAGTGGCTAGTGAATTTGAACTGCTGACATTCTGGTTAGCAGCCAAATGTCTTACTACACCACCAGAGCTCCTTATAGTTTATCTGAACCTTTAAAAAGTTCTATGAATCTACAACAAAAGGAAACTTGGAGAGTGGAGTATCTTGATTTTCTAGGTCTATGCTTAAGCCCCACAACACTGTTGTCATGTGCCATTGAGTCAGTTCTGATTCATAGTGACCCCATGTACGACAGAATGAAACATTGTCCAGTCCTGTGCCACCCTCACAATCTTTGCTATGTTTGAGCCCATTGCTTTAGCCACTGTGTCAGTCCATCTTGGTCTTCCCCTTTTTGCTGACCCTCCACTTCTCCACGGACTGGCCCCTTCTGACAACAAGGCCAAAGCCCCATAATAAGTTATTTCCTTTGTACTACAGACTTATCTTGGAAGGAAGGTTGGGCATTCCTACTTCCATAGTGATACTGCCTCGGAAACCCAAGGAGGGGTCGCTATGAGTCAGGGCTGACTCGATGGCAAAACAACAACAACAACAACAACAGACTTATAGTGCCTTTAATTTGTAATAGAGACAAGGAACCATATGAAGTTAGGACATTTTGTCAGATACTTTGATATAGATTTCCTATAACACATAGCAGCTGTCATATCTCTGTTGAAAGAAGATCAATCTTAGAGCCTCGAAGTTGGAAAAAAAAACTGTTTTCACTTCAGTTTTTATTCTTCATAGCATTCAGCACCAAATATAAGTATCTCCTTATTGTCTGTCTCTCTTCAACACCCTCTGCCAAAATGCAAGCACCCTGAGAGCTGGGCTTTTGTTTATTT